TTTTATATTTCGTTTGTGCAGACATGTGGTATGATGCATTTAGTCACCAACTTCTACCCACTATGGTTATCATGGCCTGCACCACGTATACTAGAACTAATCATAATTTTAAAAGACTTATTTTACCCTAAACCTTATTTGCACCTTTGTTTTTGCATACAGAATAAGCTGTGTGTATGCTAAGTGGTATATAATTACAGTAATCGCTAACTTCTACCCACCATGATTATCATGGCCTGCACCACGTATACTAGAACTAATAATAATTTTAAAAGGCTTATTTTTATCCTAAACCTTATTTGCACCTTTGTATTTGCATACAGAATAAACTTTATATTTAGTTTGTGTAGACATGTAGTATGGACCTACAGGAATCGCTAACTTATGATTATGATGGTCTGTGTATGTGTTGTATGTACTAGAATTAATAATAATTTTAAAAGGCGAAATTTTTCCAAAATCTTATTTGCACCTTTGTTTTTGCATACAGAACTCGTTGACGTTGTGCATGCGAAAATATCTCCCCTGTACACAGACGACATACATTGGTGAATGGAATAACGAACAGAAACCAGAATCCGCCCCTGGAAATTGCAACAGGACGAAATCCAAGAGGAGAGACTCCCGTGATGTAACATCCCGGCAATTTGGGCAATCATTGTTGCAACCAGAGGTTTACGTTTCGAAGGTCAGAAAGCAAGGACACTCTATCTGTACTTGGTGTAAACCTACCTCATGTTTATCCTACCTAGTTACATATCTACTTAACTACATACCAGACTGTCGCCAAGCCGTCTCTCTCTACCTCATAACGTCACCACTTCACGGTTGCGCGGATAAGGTAGTTGTTAACTTTGCTTAGAAATTTTAATGAAACTGATTCCAAGAATTATTATACAAATAAAGTGTCATTGTTGCGCGGATAAGGTAGTTGTTAACTTTGCTTAGAAATTTTAATGAAACTGATTCCAAGAATTATTATACAAATAAAGTGTCATTGTTGCGCGGATAAGGTAGTTGTTAACTTTGCTTAGAAATTTTAATGAAACTGATTCCAAGAATTATTATACAAATAAAGTGTCATTGTTGCGCGGATAAGGTAATTGTTGACTCTGCTTAGAATTTTTAATGAAACTGATTCCAAGAATTATTATACAAATAAAGTGTCATTGTTGCGCGGATAAGGTAGTTGTTGACTCTGCTTAGAATTTTTAATGAAACTGATTCCGAGAATTATTATACAAATAAAGTGTCATTGTTGCGCGGATAAGGTAGTTGTTGACTCTGCTTAGAAATTTTAATGAAACTGATTCCAAGATTTATTATACAAATAAAGTGTCATTGTTGCGGGGATAAGGTAGTTGTTGACTCTGCTTAGAATTTTTAATGAAACTGATTCCAAGATTTATTATACAAATAAAGTGTCATTGTTGCGCGGATAAGGTAGTTGTTGACTCTGCTTAGAAATTTTAATGAAACTGATTCCGAGAATTATTATACAAATAAAGTGTCATTGTTGCGCGGATAAGGTAGTTGTTGACTCTGCTTAGAAATTTTAATGAAACTGATTCCGAGAATTATTATACAAATAAAGTGTCATTGTTGCGCGGATAAGGTAGTTGTTGACTTTGCTTAGAATTTTTAATGAAACTGATTCCAAGAATTATTATACAAAGAAAGTGTCATTGTTGCGCGGATGAGGTAGTTGTTGACTCTGCTTAGAATTTTTAATGAAACTGATTCCAAAAATATTATTAATCAAACATTATATTTATTGATTTACAAAAGAGATAACAAAATATAAAAGGGAAACTAATATTAAAACAAAGGAACTTCTCTTTTTTCTTTCGGTTAGCGCCTATTTACCTGTGAGCTTACACACACTCTGTGGTAACAATTAATATATATATGTCATAATATATGCTCTTCCAGGTTTAATAAAACAAACCAACAGCCAACGAGAGAGAGCTGGGCAGCTAAAGCGAGACACTTTAGACAACTAACTTACGACCATTTTTGGCCACATTCCTGAGGGGGGGGGGGGGGGGGGGGGGGCCGTCACCACCTGGCGACTATCCTGGTTAGCCCCCCGGTTGTGTACACAGGGAAAACAGTCGTTCAGCGGACAGCCCGCTCGCTACCTCCCTCTCTCTCGGATGGCTTCCAGGTTCCATCTTCCAAACTTGTTGTTTCCTTATTTCTCACTCACCACATTATTATCACTATAGTACCACATCGAAAGTCGACAGGATCATATCACAGAAGAGTCGACAGGATCATATCACATATATACAACAATTTTATTATCAAGAGATAAAATAGAGGTAACCCGGGCTCCTGGAGCGTAAACCACCAACTACCCGGGCTGTACAGCTACAGTCTAGAAGTCTAGTCATGGAGGGGGGGGGGGATTGCTGAGGTGAACCAGGTAGTTCCAGGCCGGCAGGGAGTCAGGAAGTAGGGGCAGGGCTGAAGGGCTGAAGTCTTGTACTCCAAGCAGTAGGGCTGTCTGTAGCCTGTGTAACATAAAAGCTGGACAGGAGAAGAGGAGGTGATCCACAGTCTGTGACTCTTCCCGGCAGTGAGGTAATAGCCTACAGCACGTAATTATCAAAAGAACAACATCGCGAGGCGAAGAGATTCTTGTAGCGTTTTTTTTTTTTTTTTTCGCCAAGCTTTCGAGTATTTTTGTTCTTCCTCAGGAGTAAAAATAGAAACGTATCAGAAGATAAATTGTTTTATACAGTAGAACATCCTTAATTCGAAAGCGTATTTAATTCCAATATTTATCTTGATCCCTAGAATTTCCTATAAATAGAATTTCCGTTTTTAATTCGAACTTTTGGATAATTCAAAATTATTTTTTATTTTTTTTGGTCCCTTGGGTTCGAATTATGCAAGTTAGACTGTAAGGGGGTCGGTGGAAGGCTGGTTAAACCGTTTGGTTTTCGACCACTAGGACCCGGGTTCGATTCCCGCATTGGACACTTTTTTCTGTTTTAAAAATAATTTTAAAAAAAATGCTCCAATGGCTCCCGATTCTTGCAAAAGTCCAACCCCACCAGCGAGTGCAAGTAACCAAACGGGGCTCTGGCACATTTGTAAGTGCAAAGTCGAACTGCTTTTCACATGTGTAGACATGTGGTGCGCTTACAGTAAAAAAAGCAGTCGCTAACTACCCACCGTGATTATCATGGCCTGTACCACGCGTACTAAGGATAAGCAAAAAAAAAAAAGTTAGACTGTATATACATATCTGCATATTTAACATATATGAAAAAAATTTGTATTTAAAGATTTATTTGAAAAGGGGAAATAGAATTCGGGCGAAAAGATTCATTTATTTTATATTTTTTGCAAGTTTTCGAGCAGATTTCTGCTCTTCATCGGACAAATACTTTTTTATACAATATCAAAATGATCTTTATACAAAATTATAATTGAAAATATTGTTATTGGCATGGGCTCTCGCGACCTTGTATCAGACTGTTTACAGCTGAAATAATAGATATTATAATGGATTAAATATATAAGGTTTCTCCGTTTTGTAACCCCAAGGAGAATCCTCTGTAAGACCTGTGTGTCTTAATAAAGGCTTTTGTGTGTGTGTGTGTGTTTGGATTAAATATATATACATACAAGCATTTATAAAGATAATATGGGAACACGACAAAAATATATATTTTTGAATATATGTATGAGTATATATATGTAAAACTCAAAGATAGAACTCTAAAACTGTAAGAAGAACTCTGAAATTGATACACAGTGACTTTTATTGAAGACACACGAGATAACTAAGTGCAATCAAAATTGTTTCTGTCTATTAAAAAAAAAAAAAACAGACGACCGGTAATATCAAATATTTTCCACTTTCTTACGTTTTGTCCGTGAGTCGATATACATAGACAAATAATTAGAAGTTAAAAAAGAACTTATTTTTAATAGTTTTCAAAAGGGGTAGTCAAAAGAGAAGTATTTAAGAGCAAAGTGGAGAAAATGTAACAAATTGAACTTACAGGAAACCATCCAAGGGTCAGCTGAATACCAGACATGGGGGGTGTCTGGAAACTAAGAGGGCGGCGGGTGGGGCAAAGTCCCTCAGACGTCTAAGGACCGCAGCGTCATCCTTGCCGCTGCAATATTTCACTCATTTACATACTGGGGTAGTTGCAAAATCCGTTTTCTAGACACAATATAATACATAAAGATACTACTACTTTAACACAGAGCAATAACGCGCCATCTATACATATAAAATGAAAGGATTTAAAAGCACGAATGTTTCTTTTATACATAATACAAACTTCTACTGCCCTTACTGCGATGAAAAAAATATATATTGGTAGGGCTTGGCTCATCAGTGGTGAACCCTCCAAGCGGTTTCGCCAATTTAATCCATCAGACCGCTTCTCAGAGCTCTAATACTGTATTGGACGATTCTGCTTATATACGCAGCGTCTGATGGATTAAATTAGCGAAACCGCTAGGAGGGTTCACCACTGATGAGCCAAGCCCTCCCAATACATATTTTTCATTGCAGTAAGGGCATTAGAAGTTTGTATTATGTATAAAAGAAACATTCGTGCTTTTAAATCCTTTCAATTTATACTACTACTTTACTTAGTAAGGAAGTAAGGAATTTAGTTGATTTCTGTTCCACCAGATGGAGCTATGCAATCTAAAAAAGATCATGTAAGCGGTCAGGATTTGCCTGTATTTTGTTTTTAATAAAGATACTGTATTACAACTCACTAACATTCTTATTATTATCCCTAGTACACATGATACAGTCCATGATAATCATGGTGGGTAATAGTTGGCGACTGCTTTTACTGTAAGTGAACCACATGTCTATGCATGTTAAAAAAAAAGTTCGACTTTTGCACTTAAAATTGTATTAGAACCCCGTTTTTTTACTTGCACTCACTTGTGGGGTTGGACTTTTTCAATAATTGGGAACCATTGGAGCTTTTTTTTTTTATTAGAAAAAAAAAAAGTGGCCAAAGCAGGATTCGAACCCGGGTCGTAGCTATCAAAAATCGACAGTTTGTACCACTCGACCACCCACTCCAACTACAGTTATAAAGTATGTAAAATATGAGGTGGTTGAGGCTGATCGTTCACCATACGGTAATGGAGAAAAAGATGAAGTTGATTTAGTAGAACAAAGATATATTCCCATCCCTGGAAACTTTTGTTTTTCCGTTCATTATTACTCTTCATAATTCACCCTTTCATACCTCATCCAAAAAGGTTAGAAATAGTTAATATTTCACCTTGAAATAAATTTTTCATTGAAAAGAAACTCATGCGGTGTAACTTCAAGTGTTGTTTTAAAATCACAAACCGCAGTGTATTATAAAGATATATTTAACAATAAATTGATTTATTGCTCTTTTCAGAATAAAAAAGTAAAGTGTGTGCTTTGTGTAAAGTATGTAAAGTAAGTGTGTGAGGTAAAGTATGTAAATAAGTGTGTGGCTTTTGTTTTCGTAGCGTGTCACACGAGCTCACGCGCATTCCTGACGCAGTACTTTTCTTTCAAAACGTAGAAAAATCGTGCGGGTGTTAAATAACAAACAAATATTAAACTAATTCATTATTCACTTGTTTTTTTTCTTTTCAAAATTATACTTAGGGACAAAACTTAAGGAAATGGAAAGTTTTTGATGTCGCCGATCATCCGCTTTTTTTTTTTTTTTTTTACAAGGAGAAAGAAGAAATTTTATTGATACTTGGTTATTTTGTGTGTCTTCAATAAAGGTCACTGTAATATCTTTCAGAGTTATTGTCTGAATCCTGATATACATGGTAAAATATACAACTTCCTTAAGTTTTGTTCATGAGTGTATCTTTCAGAGTTATTGTCTGAATCCTGATATACATGGTAAAATATACAACTTCCTCAAGTTTTGTTCATGAGTGTATCTTTCAGAGTTATTGTCTGAATCCTGATATACATGGTAAAATATACAACTTCCTTAAGTTTTGTTCATGAGTGTATCTTTCAGAGTTATTGTCTGAATCCTGATATACATGTTAAAAGGTACAACTTCCTTAAGTTTTGTCCATGAGTGTATATATGTGTATCTTCAATAAAGGTCACTGTAATATCTTTCAGAGTTATTGTCTGAATCCCTATATACATGCTGAAAGGTACAACTTCTTTAAAGTTTTATCCATGAGTGTTTATGAGATATTGGTTAAAAACCCTTTCTTATGATGAATAGACAAAATCCAACTTTTCAGATTGGTAGCTTACTTCAGCGAGGTGCAGATTGACAATTTCTTTCCGAAGATCCAATACATTAATTATAATTTTGAAGGACTATAAGCTAACGGCGATGAGATTCTTGATTTAGGCCATTTTCTAAGTGTAGAAATAAATAAAGGATAACGTCGCGCAGTTAGCTTTTTATTCCTTCTTCCGGCGATTCCTCTTTTTGTAATTAAACTTTCAATAAAACGGATTGTTCACTATTTAATCTCTACTATGAGAGAATGGAGCCCAGTTCTTTCACCGGTCTTATTCCCTTTGTGTACGGACGTGTAAGTGTGTTTTTTACCTGACATTTGGGCACAAACAGGCGGGATGACCCATAATGTGACAGAAACCCTGCGTCACCGTTCACCTGTATGCGACCATCGACTTGGCCTACTTACTTCTACTGTGGTTCACACGGATTTCTCCTTTTTTGTCGTTACCACGATCTACACTAGCTACAGTCTCGATAGAGTCTTGGAATCTTAACTCTTGGTTGAGGTCAATCACACAATCTCTTAAACATCCAAATTGTATGAAAAAGTGAAAGTTGTATAAGCTTATGTTTTAAAAATGAATCGATGTTGGTTCCATATGCTTGAATTGAATATTACACCTTAGTTCTATATATATTTATTGCTTAAAAAAGGAACACAAAAAAAAAACAAAAAGGAAACTACAATTGCAAATGATTTGATAACTAACTAACTGAAAAATATATATTTAAAATGATGATGCTAAAAATTGATTATGTCTGCCAGAAAAAAATGCTTCTATGAATTAAAAAATAAGAATAATTACAGACTTAACACATATAAACTTCAAATAATAAAATAAATTTTAACGCCTTGCCAAATGCTTTATATCTCTCGACGAAGACAAAATATTTTTGTTGAAATATTGATAGAATAAAACTTTATCTGGCTAAAGTGTCTATTTTTTAAAGAAATATTGGCACAGTAGTGTTGATAAGTATTACAAAAGTAAGAATAATTTATAGATTAGAATGTACAACTATTTTATAATCTAATTTACAAGTGATAATATACAAGTATGGTAAGGGGTGATGACTATGCAAATATTTATGATGATAAACAACAGAGTATTCAAAATAATTATTCTGTGGCAATATGAATACCAGCCAGGAAACCTCTATCTTACAAATAATCAAATTATTATTATATTACATGCGAGGAAATAATAAATAAACATTAACCGTTTGTTATTTTATAAGTATCCATATGATTATTATTGACTTTAGAATAATTACATTTATATCTACAGGTATGAATAATCGTTTTTTCGATAGCCACGATTCGGGATCGAATCCCGCATTGGACACTTTTTTTTAAAAAGAAAAATCTGTTCAATGCCCTCCGATTGGCCACACTTGTAAGTACAAAAGACGAACTGCTTTCCACATGTATACAATCATAGTCAAAAGTTAAGGAAGTAGAAAGTCTTTAATGTCACTTGCCCTCTCTCTCTATTTTTTTTTTTTTTTTAGGAGACAGAGGCAAATTTGTTCACACACTTGGTTATCTCATGTGTCTTCAATAAAGGTCACTGTAATATCTTTCAGATTTATTGTCAGAACCCCGATATACATGGTAAAAGGTACACAACACTTCCTTAAGTTTTGTTCATGAGTGTATATTGGTTATCTCATGTATCTTCAATAAAGGTCACTGTAATATCTTTCAGAGTTATTGTCTCAATCCCGATATACATGGTAAAAGGTACAACACTTCCTTAAGTTTGTTCATGAGTGTATATTGGTTATCTCATGTATCTTCAATAAAGGTCACTGTAATATCTTTCAGAGTTATTGTCTCAATCCCGATATACATGGTAAAAGGTACACAACACTTCCTTAAGTTTTGTTCATGAGTGTATATTGGTTATCTCATGTATCTTCAATAAAGGTCACTGTAATATCTTTCAGATTTATTGTCAGAACCCCGATATACATGGTAAAAGGTACAACTTCCTTAAGTTTTGTTCATGAGTGTATATTGATTATCTCATGTGTCTTCAATAAAGGTCACTGTAATATCTTTCAGATTTATTGTCAGAACCCCGATATACATGGTAAAAGGTACAACAACTTCCTTAAGTTTCGTCTATGAGTGTATATTGGTTATCTCATGTATATTCAATAAAGGTCACTGTAATATCTTTCAGATTTATTGTCAGAACCCCGATATACATGGTAAAAGGTACAACACTTCCTTAAGTTTTGTCCATGAGTGTATATTGGTTATCTCATGTATCTTCAATAAAGGTCACTGTAATATCTTTCAGAGTTATTGTCTCAATCCCGATATACATGGTAAAAGGTACAACACTTCCTTAAGTTTTGTTCATGAGTGTATATTGGTTATCTCATGTATCTTCAATAAAGGTCACTGTAATATCTTTCAGATTTATTGTCAGAACCCCGATATACATGGTAAAAGGTACAACACTTCCTTAAGTTTTGTTAATGAGTGTATATTGGTTATCTCATGTATATTCAATAAAGGTCACTGTAATATCTTTCAGAGTTATTGTCAGAACCCCGATATACATGGTAAAAGGTACAACAACTTCCTTAAGTTTCGTCTATGAGTGTATATTGGTTATCTCATGTATCTTCAATAAAGGTCACTGTAATATCTTTCAGAGTTATTGTCAGAACCCCGATATACATGGTAAAAGTTACAACAACTTCCTTAAGTTTCGTCTATGAGTGTATATTGGTTATCTCATGTATATTCAATAAAGGTCACTGTAATATCTTTCAGAGTTATTGTCAGAACCCCGATATACATGGTAAAAGGTACAACAACTTCCTTAAGTTTCGTCTATGAGTGTATATTGGTTATCTCATGTATATTCAATAAAGGTCACTGTAATATCTTTCAGAGTTATTGTCAGAACCCCGATATACATGGTAAAAGGTACAACAACTTCCTTAAGTTTCGTTTATGAGTGTATATTGGTTATCTCATGTATATTCAATAAAGGTCACTGTAATATCTTTCAGATTTATTGTCAGAACCCCGATATACATGGTAAAAGGTACAACAACTTCCTTAAGTTTCGTCTATGAGTGTATATTGGTTATCTCATTTATATTCAATAAAGGTCACTGTAATATCTTTCAGAGTTATTGTCAGAACCCCGATATACATGGTAAAAGGTACAACAACTTCCTTAAGTTTCGTCTATGAGTGTAAATTGGTTATCTCATGTATATTCAATAAAGGTCACTGTAATATCTTTCAGATTTATTGTCAGAACCCCGATATACATGGTAAAAGGTACAACACTTCCTTAAGTTTTGTTAATGAGTGTATATTGGTTATCTCATGTATATTCAATAAAGGTCACTGTAATATCTTTCAGAGTTATTGTCAGAACCCCGATATACATGGTAAAAGGTACAACAACTTTCTTAAGTTTCGTCTATGAGTGTATATTGATTATCTCATGTATATTCAATAAAGGTCGCTGTAATATCTTTCAGAGTTATTGTCTCAATCCCGATATACATGGTAAAAGGTACAACAACTTCCTTAAGTTTCGTCTATGAGTGTATATTGGTTATCTCATGTATATTCAATAAAGGTCACTGTAATATCTTTCAGATTTATTGTCAGAACCCCGATATCATGGTAAAAGGTACAACAACTTCCTTAAGTTTCGTCTATGAGTGTATATTGGTTATCTCATGTATATTCAATAAAGGTCACTGTAATATCTTTCAGAGTTATTGTCAGAATCCCGATATACATGGTAAAAGGTACAACAACTTCCTTAAGTTT